TGCACAGCTCCTGTCCCTCCCTTCAGATACATAGAATTTTTAGAAAACAGGCACAATCTAATCCCCGGGTTTACTGTATCCTGCAAATTTTGCCATGGGTCCCAGGACTGACCCTTGGGGGATACCACTAGTTACTTCTCTCCACTCTGAAAACTGACCATTTATTTCTACCCTTTGTTTCCTGTCCTTTAACTCATTATCAATCCATGAAAGGACCTTCCCTCTTATCATGACAATTTACTTTTCTTTACTTAAGCGCCTTTGGTGAGGGACCTTGTCAAAGGCTTTCTGGAAATCTGAGTGCACAATATCCATTGGGTCCCCTTTGTCCACGTTTGTGGATCCCCATAAAGAACTCAAATACATTAGTAAGGCATGCTTTCCTTTTGCAGAAACCATGTTGCTTTCTCCCTACAAATTATGTTCATCCATGTGTCTGACAATTTTATTTTTTACTATTGTTTCATCTAATTTACCCAGTACTAGTGTTAGACTTACCAGTCTGTAATTTCCAGGATCACCTCTAGAGCCCTTTTTAAATATTGGCATCACGTTAACTGTCTTCCAGTCATTAGATATGGACGCTAATTTAAAGGATACGTTACAAACCACATTTTGTAGCTCGCTTGTGTGAGTAACTCATTTCACTGTGGGAGAGATGGACTAGAGAGTAAGTCTGGTCTTTTCTGCTTTGCACAGACACTAACGTTCTGGGGCCCTTGCCATGGGAGAGGAAGAGTTTATCCCAGCGTTATTGGCCAAAGTGCTCCTCTTTGTGGATGGCCTGAAGCCAAGGCAGCTGCATTTCAGGTGTGTAGAGTAAACGGAGGCAGTCCATGGTATTTCACTAAGAACACCTATTCAGTCCTAACATTTGAAGCAGGCCTGTGAACAACACAGCACAGGTAGCTGGTGTGTAACAGCTTAGGTTGACTTTCCTCTTTAGTGTGGACTAGGCTGGTGGGAGCAGAAGTGGAGTCTCAGAGTTCACACGTCCTATAAACAGGGAGCTCACGCCCTTCAGCTGGTTCTAAAACACTCAGATTCCCCTGGAGAGGATGGTGACTGCTCAGCTTCCCTCTTCCAGCCTCTCCTCTGCCTCCCACCCAATGACTAGCTCCTGCCATGGAAGGACTGTGGGTACTGCAGAGAAGTCAGGTCCCCTGGTTGTCTCTCTCTCATCCTGCACCTTGATCTGCCTGGTAAATTCATGTCTCCCTGCTTAGCTGCAATATGTGTTTCGGTTCACATTCCCTTTTCTTTGCAAGGTCTTGTCAGTACCATTCAGAGAAAGGTGCTTCAGAATGTGATGGAAGTTATTGAGGAGAACTTGTCATCTTTGACCCCTAGGTGCCAGCCATAGACATGGGGGGAGGGATAGCTCAGTGGTTTCAGTATTGGCCTGCTAATTGTGAGTTCAATCCTTGCAGAGGCCATTTAGAGATTTGAGGCAAAAATTTGTCAGGGATGGAACTTGGTCCTGCTGTGAAAACAGGGGACTGGACTCAATGACTTTTCAAAGTCCCTTCCGGTTCTAGGAGATAGGCAATCTCCATTAATTTAAAACATTCTCCATAGTTTTCTTATTAATCAACTATAATTTCTAAGTGCACAAAAAATCTCAGAGCAGTCAATTCCTCTGTGACTCAGCCCAGAGCCAACAAGTTCTCCTCTCCTCTTGGGAAGGTCCCCTAATTGCTGTTTACTCATAAAGCAGGAAAACTAGCCCCGAAGCCCAGACAGGTTGGTCTGCAGTCTTTTTCCATCAAGATGCTCACGTACCACTAGGGGCTGAGTGATCCCACTGGGATGGCCCAGAGCTATATTATTAATGCTGTACAGCCCTGTGCCAGGTCTCGGCGTGGGACGTTGCTGCCGGTGCTGGTCTGAGAGAGGCGTGGGACACAGTTGCCTGTGGGCGGCTCCCAGGAACGACAATCTCACTATTTGCAGGTACTCAATTCAGGCTGAGGAGCTCACCAGCTCGACAAACCCAGGGCACCGCAGGAGAGAGGGTAAGTCTGGGATCCTTTGTGCTCTGCAAAGCTGGTAAATAGCCCGGTGCCTTTGCTGGACATCACCCACTACAACATGAGCCCATTGCTCCTTGTTTTGCCCTCTGTCACTACTGAGAACAGCCTCTCTCCATCCTCTTTGGAACCCCCCTTCAAGAAGTTGAAGGCTGCTCTCAACTCCCCCCTCGCTCTTCTCTTCTGCAGATTAAATAAGCCCACATCCCTCTGCCTCTCCTCACAGGCCATGTGGTCCAGGCCCCTCATCACTTTTGTTGCCCTCTGCTCCCTTTCTCCTATGGAGCTACATCCTTTCTCTAATTGGGGCCCCCCAGAATCGGATGCAGTATTCCAGATGTGCTTCTCCACACTCCTAAGGAAATTGGTTTTTTTTCCTACTATCCAACCTAGACCTCCCCCACTGCAACTTGAGCCCATTGCTCCTCGTTCTGTCATCGGCCACCACTGAGAACAGCTTCTCTCCATCTTCTTTGGAACCCCCATTAGCTAGTTGAAGGCTGCTCTCAAATCCCCCCTCACTCTTCTCCTCTGTGCACTAACGAAAAACAAATCCTTCAGCCTCTCCTCGTAGGTCATGTGCTCCAGCCCCCTCATCATTTTGGTTACCATCTGCAAGACCCTCTCCAATGCACCCACGTCCTTTCCTCACTAAATCTGCTGACAATGCTCCTACCTATGCATCCCATATACCTGGCCTCCTCACTGTAAGCTCTCTGCAATTTGAACACTAACATTCTGAGAATGTTATCAGCCCTGGTTTTCTGTTTGTTTCCAGAACATCGATTAAAACATCAGACCTACACATTATCCCTATGAAACCCTACTTGAAATCTGTCGATAAACCAGGGTTTTGCCCATTTTTCATCTGCTTCCCCTACTAAAGCAAATGTCTCAGAGAAATGCAGGTTTATTACAGCTCTGCTGTTCTCTTGATCAACCAAAGCTGTACTCCTGTAAAAAGATGAAGCTGTTTATTTGATATGACCAGTTTTACGTAAACCATAGGGCTGAACAACATTAACAATATTACTGATGTTATAAACATCCCAAACCAGCCTTTCCAGTCTTTCTTAAACTTGTCAACCATTTTTATTTTGAACTTTCCCTTAATTTTTAAAATAATTTACGTTTAATGGAACCGGTCCTCAATTGGCCTCCTTTCTGAGGTGGCAGGAGGGCTGAGGTCTCTGCTGATTGCTGCCTGACTGCCCAGTTCTGGCTCTGAAGGAGATGTGTGGCTGATCGGTCAGTTCATATCTCTGGTGTTCATACCTCTAACGTTCTACTGCAGATGCTTTTTGAGCTCTTCATAAATGTTTCTTTCCAAATACTGAACAAAACCATTTCTAGGACATGTGGATTTTTTCTCCAATGGGAGCAATTTTCCTTTCACCCTTTGAAAATAGTCAAAATATTTTCCAAGGTATCCTTTCCCCCGCCCCCAGGTATTCTTAATATCCTCTTTTTCTCATCCTTAACCCTACTAAGTGTTTTACCTGATATCTATAACATCCCTCACCATTTTTCAAAAATTTCCAGTTTGTATTGCTTTTTATCTACTTTTCTTTTCTCCAATGTATTATACAGTGCCGTTTCTCCCCTAAGTGCTGCCTTGATTAGCCACTGAAAAGGGTTGTTAGACAACATGTGCACATTGTTCATCATGGACTCAAAAATGTTAGTTAACTAATAAAACAATAGTTCAAAAAATCCCAATTTTCATTCCAATATTTTTGCCTACCTTTTCCTCCCAAACGGTTTTGCTGATCATTGAATCATAGAGCTGAAAGAGACCTCAGGAGGTCATCAAGTCCAGCCCCCGACTCAAAACAAGATCAATCCCAACTAAATCAACACAGCCAGGGCTTTGTCAAGCCAACACTTGAAAACCTCTAGGGATGGAGATTCCACAACCTCCCTAGGGAACCCATTCCAGTGCTTCCCCACTCTCCTTGTGAAATAGTTTTTCCTAATATCAAACCTAGACCCCCCTCACTGTATCTTGAGACCATTGCTCCTTGTTCTACCATCTGTCATTACTGTGATCAGCCTCTCTCCAATCTCTTTGGAACTTCCTTTCAGGAAGTTAAAGGCTGCTATCAAATCTTCCCTCAGTCTCCTCTTCTGCAGACTAAACAAACACAAATCCCTCAGCCTTTCCTCATGTGCTCCATCCTCCTCATCATTTTGTCTCGTTCTGGGCCCACTCCCCTTCCCCCCACTATAGAAAGGATGTGGACACATTGGAGACGGTCCAATGGAGGGTGACCAAAATGATTAGGGGGCTGGAATGCAAGACCTATAAGGAAAGACTGAGAGACTTGGGTTTGTTTAGTCTGCAGAAGAGAAGAGTGGTTGTGGTGGGGAGGGAGAGGTTGTTAGCAGCCTTCAACTCCCAGAAGAGGGGTTCCAAGGAGTATGGAGAGAGGCTGTTCTCAGTGGTGACAGATGGCAGAACGAGGAGCAATGGACTCAAGTTGCAAAATGGGAGGTCTAGGCGGGAGATTAAGAAAAAACTATTTCCCTAGGAGGGTGGGGAAGCACTGGGCTGGGTTCCCTAGGGAGGGGGTGGAATCTCCATCCCTAGAGGTTTTTAAGTCCTGTCTTGACAAAGCCCTGGCTGGGTTGATTTAGTTGGGGTTGGTCCTGCTTTGGACAGGGGGCTGGACTTGATGACTCCTGAGGTCTCTTCCTAATCTAGGATTCTCTGATTCTAGGGTCTGTTGTTCATAGTTCATGTCTCTGGATAGTGTCATTTTTCAGTGTGAAGAAAGTGCCATCTCCTTCACCCAGGAGAACTGCCTCCATCAGTGCATGTGGTGTCTCATATTCACATTGTGTCTCCAACCAGGCAATTCCACTGTGACAATCACCCTAGATCCAGCCCATCCACAAACACTGCAGAGCATCTGGTTCAAGTAAGAGAGAGCATTCTGCTTCAGAATTGAATCGCTTCTTCCCTACTCCATGACAGACTCAAATACAACTGCTTTCACCAACCCCTCCACCTTCATCTTACTGGGTATTCCTGGCCTGGAGGTAGCCCATGTGTGGATCTCCGTCCCCTTCTGCATTATGTACGCTATAGTCATGTTGGGAAATGTTGCCATCCTATTTATTGTGAAGAGGGAGTCCAGTCTCCATGAGCCCATGTACTATTTCCTCTGTATGCTGGCCATCAGCGACTTGGTGCTGTCCACCTCCACCCTGCCCAAAATACTGGCAATGTTCTGGTTCAATTCCAGGGAGATTGATTTCAGTGCCTGCCTTACTCAGATGTTCTTCATTCACGGCTTCACAGCGATTGAATCTGGGATCTTCGTGGCCATGGCTTTTGATCGCTACGTGGCCATCTGCCATCCCTTGAGACATTCCTCCATCCTGACAAACTCCCTGGTGATGAAGATTGGTCTGGTCATTCTGTTACGTGGATGCATCCTTGCACTGCCCTATCCCTTCCTGGCAAGGCAGTGGCCATATTGCAGAACCAACATCATCAGCAGCTCTCAGTGTGAGAACTTGGCCGTGGTGAAACTGGCCTGTGCTGACACCCGCATCAGTAGTTACTACGGCCTCTTTGTGCTGTCCTGTAGGATCGGTCTGGACGTGTTTTTCATCATTCTGTCCTATATCCAGATCCTCAGGACCATCTTCAGCCTTCCCTCTAAGGATGCCCGGCTCAAGACTTTCGCGACGTGTGGTTCACACATCTGTGTCATATCAGCCTTTTACATCCCAACTATATTTAGCTCCCTGGTATCCCGTTTGGGTAGCAATATTCCCCTTCTTTATGAAATGTTCATTTCCAATACGTACCTCCTGGTTCCCCCCATGCTGAACCCTATTATCTATGGTGTGAGAACCAAACAGATCTGGAACAGGCTGCGTTGGCTCTTTACTGATAAAGGGACTAAAGTTTTCTCCCAAAATGTGGGATCTTAGAAAGAGCTCCCTGGAGGGCTAGCTCATGACATGGTACCTTCCCTCAAACAGTAACTGGTCAGTCAAAGAAACTTTAAATTATGTGTGGAATTTACTGAATTGTCTCAGCGTGACACACTGGGGAATCCATCTGTGCACAACTCATAGGGTTGACAACTTCCTCGTTGTAACTGGACTCCCAAAACCCTGCCCTTGTCCCGCCTTTTTCCTCAGGGCCCTGTTCCATGTCTCCCCTTGAGCCCTGAGCCACTTCTATGTCTTGTCCTTTTAGTCCCTTGAGCTCCTCCTTCCCCACTTGGCTCATATCTATGATGGGTCTTGTCAAGATGCCACCTGGAACTCAGGTACAGCTGGGGCTCTGTGTCACACCAAACTGACTGCCACTTGTAGTTTGGAGATGTCAACCTGCAAAGGCCTTCCAGTCTGTCTCACCTGAGCAGTAAGAATATGTAACCCTGGGCAGTGCATCTTCAATGAAAGTATTTTCCCATGTTTCTCCTTGGCTGCAAAGGAGAAAACAGAGTCTATAGGAGCGGTGTGGTTCCATTGCTGTGATGCCCATAAATAATTAACCCAGGGCGGCCAGTTAATGTGTTTCTCGGTGTGATTTCTGGCAACACTTTCAGAAACACTGATCTAGATAGTACTGGGGCCTGCCTTGAGGGCCGGGGTCTGGACTGGATGACCTCTCGAGATCCCTTCCAGTTCTGGCATTCTGTGATTCTATGATTCTGTGCTGGCAGATAAGTACTGATGGAACTAACCTCCAGCAGGTTTAAAACTAATAAAAGAAAGTTCTTCTTCACTCAGCGTGTATTCAGCCTGTGGAACTCCTTGCCAGAGGAGGCTGTGAAGGCAAGGACTATATCAGAGTATATAGAGAAGCTAGATAATTTCATGGAAGTTGGGTCCATAAAAGGCTATTAGCCAGGGGATAGAATCGGTGTCCCTGGCCTCTGTCTGTCAGAGGCTGGAGAGGGATGGCAGGAGACAAATTGCTTGATCATTGTCTTCAGTCCACCCTCTCTGGGGCTCTTGGTGTTGGCCACTGTTGGCAGACAGGATACTGGGCTAGATGGACCTTTGGTCTGACCCAGTACGGCCATTCTTATGCTCTTATGTTCATAAAATTGGCCAGTTCTTTTGGAACCCTGTTAAAATCCTGGTCTTCACAATATGCATTGCCAAGGAGTCTGTGTGTGACTCTATTCTTTGTAAAGGAAAATGTCCTTTTGTTTGTTTTAAACCTGCTACCTGTTAATTTCATTTGATGTCTCCTAGTTCTTCTGTCATGGAAACAGGTAAATAATTTTTCATTATTCACTTACTCCTACCCATCATAATTTTACAGACTTCTATCATATCCCCCACTTAATCTCCTCTTTTCTAAGCTGAAAAGACCCAGTCTTTTTAAGGAATACTCAGTTGATCTGGACAAATTAGCACTTCATGTTGTCTGTCTGTACCACAGATGAACGTTGACTGATTTTTCTCTAGGTCATTGGCTCCTGACTCCAAAAAGGTTCTTCATCCCTGTTCTATAAGGAATTTAACCCTAATTGGGTAGAAGTTTCCAGAATCTTGGTATCATAGTAATATTTATAAATGAAGTAATATGTTATAACTAGCAACAAAATTCCTCAGAAGAATTCAGAGGGGAAGTCTGAGTAATTCTCAAGTCTCTATTTTTATAACTTTGAGTGGGCCAGACGTCACTGTCCTTCAATGTGTAACCCCCTCCCGTCCTTCTCCCCAGCTCCCATAGAAAGTCACTGAAGACCCAGCGTTCAGGCTGGAAGAAATTTGAGCAAGGGGTCAGCCTCCCCCATATGCAAGTCCCGAAAGGAAGGACAGGAATGAATTTAATGAAATCACTTTAAAAATCTTATGATGAAGAAACAAGTAATTTGTTTTAGAGCATAACAGAGACATTTTATAACCCACTGACATCGTCTTCACAGTTACAACAAACATAAAACCAAAGAGAAGAAGGGAACAGTTCAGTCTACACTGGACACACTCAGAACACACTGGGGGATCCCACAAGCTTAGATGTAATTCACTAATGTCTCAGGGAGTGTCTCTGATCCCCAAATCTACACCGTATGCTGAGCCTGACCCATCTCTCCACTTGTGCTGGATCCTCAGTTGGAGTCCAGGCAGCCCCTTTCCTGCTGCGGATCCCAGCCAGCCAGCCCACTGTGTAACTGGTCAGATAAGTAATCAGGGCACAGATTTACATGAAACCTGCCTTCCGGAAAATACACAAACTGGGAATAACACAACACACATGGCTCCTGCCCCGTCGCTGCGGGTTCAGAACGGCTGTGGACTCGCCCAAGCAGGGAAAGTTGCTGGCACCATTTGGCTATACCCCACACTTCACTGCACCAGAAGAAAGTATTTTCCCTCCCAGCCCTCTGGTGATAGTGCCCATCCCCCAGGTGTCTCCAGTTGGGGACTAGCAATCAACCATGATTGTCCAGGGAATGTGCCTGGTCATCCAAAAAATTTTTTGGAGGAACAGACGAACTTTTTCTGTAGCCTGTAAACCTTGTTTTAAGAGGAAGAGGAGATGATCTAAGAAAGGGTTTTCCCCTTATGTACAGCCTAGTGTAGCTGGGCCAAATGTCAGAAAAATCTCTTCCAAAAAAAGAAGCGGAAAATGTATATTGCAATTTGCAATGTGAGTAGCTTTTCCAGAAGAACAGTGTAGTGTAGACATAGCCAAAGTCTTGCTTCCCTTGGGCCTCACCTACCAGCTCTCCGAGTTTACTAAAATCTGCGTCCTGACAGTCATTGTCTCTGTTTTGCTGTTCTCCCTTCCACCATTCCTTACAATCATGGCCTGTAGATTTCATGATCCCTGTCACCCAAACTCCTTCCACTTTCAAAATCTTAGCCAATAAAAAATTCTGTCTCATGACAGGGGTTATTGGGTTCTGCTTTGAGCAGGAGATTGGCCTGAATGATCCTTTGAGCTCGCATTTAACTTTAACTTTGGATGGGTCTATGATTCTGTGGAAACTGATGGGTATCAGGAAACACCAATGGATTCAAGTGCTTATAGCGCCTACATCTGGGACAACCTGCCAACTTGTGAACCCCGAGGCGAAGGCTGTGGGGTTACATTCTCGGAACTGAGGTGCACCAGCATCAGGGAGTGAAGCATACTGGGAGGAAGTAGGAGTCAGCGGCAGTGGTTAGGTGGGAGAAGGGAAGACAACTTGCCCTTCCTCTAGAAAGGTGGTGTGGGAGTTTGCCAGTTCCAGGTCAAGCAGCATCCAAAGGGCTTGTTTTGTTCAGGTGGGTAACGTAAAGGCTTTCCCAGAGACATGTCAAGAAGATGTTTCTAAGGAAGAGGTGACCAGTTTGGATGGCTGGCTCATCTTGTTCATGACAGGCCAACACAGCGGGTGAAGTTTCTCTCACTACAACTAGCAACACAGCCCAAGACAGAACAAGGCTCATGATCACAAGTCCCGTAGGGATCTCATCAGGTTCCACTGTACCCATACATGCCGATGATGCAATAAAATACGGGAAAAAATTGGAATCAAATCCCCATGTTGTTGTCACTCAACAGTCCCGAAGTGCTGGTTTACACTGTGCCGAGAAAGTCACACCCAGGAGTCAGGTCCTGTCGTTCAGCGAGCGTTCATGGAAGGCCCAGAGCTGCCTGTTCCTTGGAGCCTGGGGCAAATCCAGAGCCTGCTGAGAATGGGCAGATCCCTCAGGCTGACCTGGTATTACATGAGCAGGGGAATAGAAAACCCGGGTAATCTGCCCCGTCTCCAGAAGGTCCTGGGAACGACTTTGCCGGCTCTCCCTGGTAAGCATGGAGATGGTTCTGGGATTGATTCTGGGGGTTGGTTTAATGAACACTGCCCTGGATCGTATAAAGCAGTGGGCATGGCACATTGAGGGTACGTCTAAACTACATGCCGCCGTCGACGGAGGCATGTAGATTAGCCAGATCGGCAGAGGGAAATGAAGCCGCGATTAAAATAATCGCGGCTTCATTTAAATTTAAATGGCTGCCCCGATCTGCCGACAAACAGCTGATCGGCAGAGCGGGGCAGCCATTTAAATTTAAATGAAGCCGCGATTATTTTAATCGCGGCTTCATTTCCCTCTGCCGATCTGGCTAATCTACATGCCTCCGTCGACGGAGGCATGTAGATTAGCCAGATCGGCAGAGGGAAATGAAGCCGCGATTAAAATAATCGCGGCTTCATTTAAATTTAAATGGCTGCCCCGATCTGCCGACAAACAGCTGATCGGCAGAGCGGGGCAGCCATTTAAATTTAAATGAAGCCGCGATTATTTTAATCGCGGCTTCATTTCCCTCTGCCGATCTGGCTAATCTACATGCCTCCGTCGACGGAGGCATGTAGTTTAGACACACCCTGAATGTGGTAAATGTTTTTCTATTCATAGTTAATAGGGGGTCCTCCAGAAAGTGGTTTTGACCCCTCACAGTTATCGGTCTCCAGATCTGTGCCTTCACTTTCTACCTGTCCCGCCTGCACATTGACAAGGCACAAGGGCCTATGAAGACCTAGGAATTATCCCTGGTTTTCTTAGTAGTGAACAGTACTTTTACAATACACACAAGTGCACAGAACAGCCAATTCCTCTGACTCAGCCCAGAGCCCAGGAGTTCTCCTCCGCTCTTGAGAAGGCCCCTTAATTGCTGTTTACTCCTAGAGTTGGATAAAGAGCCCAGAAGCCCAGACATGGAAGGGTCCCTGGAGAGTCACTGGCTAGAAAGTGTTTGCTCCCCAGCCTGTTTGCATCCAGATGCCGCTTCTCCCCAAAGGCTGAGCCAACCCCACTGGGACGGCCCAGAGCTGTGATATAACCAAGCATGGCCCTGTGCCGGCTCTCGGCGTGGGAGGCTGCTGCAGACGCTGGGCTGAGAGAGGTGCGGGACGCGGCTGCCTGAGGGGGGGTTCCCAGGGAAGACACGTCCCTCTCAGCACTCACAGGTACCAGCAGTAGCTGAGGAGCACAACTGCTCGACTAACCCAGTGCACTGTGGGAGTGTTGGGAGAGAGGGTAAGTCTGGGTCCTTTCTACTCTGCCCAGACATTAAACATTCAGGTACCCTTGCCCCAAGGGGGGATGAGTTTTAATCCACTGTTATTGGCCAAATTGTCCCTCTTTGCAAATGGCCTCCAGCCCCAGGCTGCTGCATTTTAGGTGCAAAGTGGATCCTGTCAGATAAAAGGTGCTAGTAGATGGACCAGGCCGGACAGTATTCTCTGGCCATGGCTCAGATTTGATTCAGACCCATGGAGCCAAAACTCCCCTGGGAGCAAGAACTGGGCAAGGACCAGAGAAGCCGGCTGTGTGTCACTGCCCAGAGATTGTCGCCTTCTGGCCTCGGGGAAGGACTCTGCACCTGGCCTTATGGAACCGCCTCAGAAATCTGCACGTGACTGTACACTGATACAGCCTGCACGTGACTGTATCAAACCCTGTGTGTGCACGGGCCCCGCTCAGCCAGCGCTCCGGATCCATCGGTGCCTGCCCCGGCCTCCTCCTTGTGACCCCTCTGCCGGCCTTCGGCTCAGGCACAGATTTTATCTCCAGATATTTTCCATTTACTTCTGCCAATGATAAAGCTATGTTAGGGCACGAGACCTACAAGAGATCACTGCAGGGCCCCGCTGGAAACAGCCCCATTGGCGGATGGGCCCATGAACGTCAGCTCTCTGGGATCTGGGAGTGACCAGAGGTCAGTACATTGTGTCCACTTTACAGGAGCTCTTCTGCTATTGCAGAATGTGCACTTTTGGTCTGTCAGGTTTCCCTCTTACATCAAACGCCTCAGGGAAATCAAAGTCTCTTGCATCTGCTCAGTTCCCTTCTCAACCAGATGTGCACTCGTATTAGTGGAGGAGTTTTCCAGACATCATACTGGTTACTGGCACTAACTAATCCCAGACCAGGTTCTCAACTCTCTCCTAACCTGGCCAGCTCTGTACTAGACAGCTGGGCCATATTGACCCCAGCCAGGGGGCAGTACAGACTAGGCAGCTGGGCCATATTGACCCCAGCCAGGGGGCAGTGCAGACTAGACAGCTGGGCCATATTGACCCCACAGACAAGGTGCAGCACAGACTCGGCCGCCAGGCCATATTTTCCCCTCCATAAGGTGTAAAGGGCGCACGACCCCATGACAGCTCCACAACCTCCCTGTTCCTTTGGCAACTGAATAGTGTTTGTGTTGCACACGGTTCGGTTCTATTGAGCTACCAGCAATGATGCCCAGGACTTGTCCCGAGGGGTGTTCTGGTTGGGATGTTTGCCCCTGGTACGTGTCTTGGTTTCGCATTTCCCCACGCTGAGATTTTTAGAAACAGGCTGAATTGTGAACTTACTAGAACAGGTTCTCTGTAGCTTGGGCACTACGGAACAAAGACGTGTAACGAGTATCCTCACTTGTGTTTCCTACTGGAGCCTATTCAGGTTTCCTGCATCACAGCATATTGGCACTCTTGACACATGGACAATCATAAAATGTGGAATGGGTGTTAGTAGCTTGTTCATACCTCACTTCTCTGAATAGTCAAAATGTCATTGGTCAGTGTGTGGAGAGTGACCAATACGCTCCACCCATGAGAACAGCCCCTAGCAGTGCATGTCGTGTCTCATACGAACATTGTCTCTCCATCCAGGCATTTGTGCTGTAACCGTCACCTGAGACCCAGGATACATACAAGACATCAGAGGAATATTGATTTGAAGGTGATACTATTCTGCATCCAAGCCACCTTCCTCCCTGCTCCATGGCAGATTCCAACACATCTGAATTCACCAACCCCTCCACCTTCATCCTGCTGGGTATCCCTGGCCTGGAGTGGGCCCATGTCTGGATCTCCATCCCCTTCTGTGCCATGTACGTCATAGTAATGTTGGGGAACATCACCATCCTTTTCATTGTGAAGATGGAGCGGAGCCTCCATGAGCCCATGTACTATTTCCTCTGCATGCTGGCCGTCACCGACCTGGTGGTGTGTACGTCCATCCAGCCCAAAATGCTGAGCGTCTTTTGGTTTAATTCCAGGGAGATCGATTTCAGTGCCTGCCTCACCCAGATGTTCTTCATTCAGTGGTCTATACTGATGGAGTCTGGCTCACTCACGGCCATGGCTTATGATCGCTACGTGGCCATCTGTGATCCCCTGAGACATTCCACCATCCTGAAAAACTCCACTGTAGCCAAGATCAGCCTGGCCGTGCTGCTGCGTGGTGCCATACTTTCCTTGCCGTTCCCCCTCCTGGCAAGGCAGTGGCCATATTGTAGAACCAACATCGTTCCTGAGCCGTACTGCTCACACATAGTTGTGGTGAGCCTGGCCTGCACTGACATTCGTGTCAGTAGTTACTACGGCCTCGTTGTCATATTCTGTGTGATGGGGCCGGATGCGATTTTTATTGCTTTGTCCTACACACAGATCCTCAGGACCATCTTCCACCTCCCCACAAAGGATTCCCGGTTCAAGACTTTTGGAACTTGCGGCTCTCACATCTGTGCCATCTTAGCCTTCTACATTTCCATGCTTTTCATCTCCTTCACGAACCGCTTTGGCCAGAATGTGCCCCGGCATTTCCAAGTTCTAATTTCCAACTTGTGTGCCTTGATGCCCCCCATGCTAAATCCCATCATCTATGGGGCGAGGACCAAACAGATCCGGGACAGGTTGCTCCGGCTCTTTACTCAAAAGGGTTCCTAAGAATTTCTAATGTTGCTCTGTGTCTGAGACTGAGATCAGAGAAGAGCTGATTGACGACATGGTGCTGGGCCCTGCTCTCTGAATTTGACTATAACGTGAAAGTGACATTGAACCCTGGGCTGGCCTTACTATGCTGTGTCCGTGGGACAAACCGTGCAATTGGTCTGTGTTCAACTCATTCACTCATGGAGTTTCCCACTTTCAAATTCCTGGTAACTTGAGCACTGAAGCCCCTTTCCCTGCCTCCTTTCTTCCCTTCAGATTCCCTTCAGGGTGGTCAAACACTGGAATAAATTGCCCAGGGAGGTTGTGGAATCCCCATCTCTGGAGATATTTCAGAGTAGGTTAGATAAATGTCTATCAGGGATGGTCTAGACAGTATTTGGTCCTGCCATGAGGGCAGGAGACTGGACTCGATGACTCTCGAGGTCCCTTCCAGTCCTAGTGTTCTATGATTCAGCTCTTCCCCCAAATCCTTCTGCTGTTGTTCTACCCTCTTTTCCCAAAACACCAACCCTGCTCTCTCCTCACTTCCCCACCCCCATCACTCACTGGATCACCTCCACCTCTGTACCTCGCCATCTTGATTCCGTCTGCTCCAGGGCTGGGACGGGAGCTGCTGCAGTCTGACCAGGAGCCTGGCCTGAGGGCCAGGAGGATGCAGCGCTGGAGCCGACACACTGGGCAGGAGCAGAGAGAGAAGCCAGGTCTCACGTACAACCCCAGTTGGAGATTGGGGGCAGGGCTGTGATGCAGAAAGGCAAGATTGTGCTTCGTACTGCGTGTGGGCCCTAACGCTCTGCTACAAAGCCATGAAAAATGAATTCAGTGTGTCATTTCCTTTTTTTAGTTTTTCAGTACCTCCCTGCTGGCATCTATTACAGGGACGGTCCCTGCACTGGGTGTGGGCTGGGCGCCCTTTGGCATGAGCCAGGTTTTGTGAGGCAGGGCAGGGGATCAGCTGTGAAACTGGGAGAACAACAGCTGGGAGAGGCAGAAGAAGCAAGGAAGGAGAACATCACATTGGAGCAGCTGGGACACTCGTTTGAGTTGATGTCATGTCATCCTCTCCTACTGAGGCTACCTCTGCGGGGGATGGAACTCCACATAGTAACAAAAAATGGTCCATGGGGGATTCAAACATCAGAAATCTAAATAGCTGGGTTTGCGCTGAGTGGGAGAACCACTGGTGACTTTTGTGCCAAGTGCAAAGATTGTGGATCTCTTGTAACATCTAGATAGACATATGTGTGTTGCTGGGGAAGAGCTGGTGGTCATCATACATGGAAACACCAAGGACATAGGGAAGGAGAGGAGATAGGAGTTCCACAGACTGACTGTGTGCTGCATGAAGGAAAGCTTCCTTTTGTTTGTTTTAAGCCTGCTGCTTATTAATTTATTTTGGGGGCCCCTAGTTCTTATATTATGGGAATAAGTACATAATATTCCGTTATTCACTTTTTCCACAACAATCATGATTTTATAGACCTCTAACATATCTTCCTTAGTCTCCTCTTTTCTAATCTGAAAAGTTCCCTTCTAATTAATCTCTCCTCCTATGGCGGCAGTTCTAAAACCCTAATCATTTTTGTTGCCTTTTTCTGAACCTTTTCCAATGCCAATATACTTTTTATGAGATGAAGAGACCACACCTGTACCTGGTATTCAAGATGTGGGTGTACCATGGTTTTATATAGAGGCAATAAGATATTCTCTGTCTTATTCTATAGCCCTTTTTTAATGACTCCTAACATCCTGTTTGCTTTTTTGACTGCTGCAGCACACCGAGAGGATGTTTTCAGAGAACTATCCACAATGACTCCAAGATCTCTCTCTTGAGTAGTTGTAGCTAAATTAGGCCCCATCATATTATATGTATAGTTGCGGTTATTTTTTCCAATGTGCATTACTTTGTATTTATGAACATTAAAATTCTTTTGCCAGTCTGTTGCCCAATCACTTAGTTTGGTGAGATGTTTTTGAAGCTCTTCACAGTCTGCTTTGGTCTTAGCTACAGTACAACCTGTGCTATCACTACGTGGCCATCTGCCATCCCGTGAGACATTCCACCATCCTGACAAACTCCCTGGTGATGAAGATTGGCCTGGTCATTCTGTTATGTGGATGCATCCTTGCACTGCCCTATCCCTTCCTGGCGAGGCAGTGGCCATATTGCAGAACCAACATCATCCTCAGCACTCAGTGTGTTCCCCCAAAGAGGCCCCACTGGCTGTGACCGGTTGGTAGGTCTCTGGGTGGGAGGAGACGTGAAGTTGAGGAGTTCCCACCTCCCAGGAGTGGGAAGCTCACAAACCCCAACTAGTTCTGGAATTCACCTGGAGAGGATGGTATCCGAGTTAGTCTGAACAGGATAAACTTAAAAAACAACAAGTTATCTGGTTACATTAGCAAAACATGTAGCCCACTTCTTCAGATGACTGAATTTTCTAAGTGTGTTCCCCCGTCATCTACGGTGTGAGGACCAAACGGATCCGGGACAGGCTGCTTCAGTTCTTTACTCATAAAGGGACTAAAGATTTCTCCTGAGGCTGTGGCTCTCAACCCACACTCCCTGGTGTGTTGGCTGGTGACATGGCGTTTTTTGGAGAAACAGTGACTTGCCAATCAAAGAAACTTTAAATTATTTGCTGACTTTATGGTTTTATCTCATCGTGACATATGGGGGAATCCATCTGGCATGTGAGTCGAAGCCCGGATGAGCCCTGTGTTGGTAGCAGCGCACTAGAAATAATAAATAATCATCTCCGTTTCATACAGAGAGAGGCTGTGACCGAGAGCGAGGAAGTGAGTTATCCGCTGTGACCCAGCGACTCCGTGGTAGAACTGGGATTGTTCCCTCCCAGCTCACTGGTCTCTGCTGATGCTTTATCTCTGTTGAAATGAGCCATTCTGAATGCTCAGCTGTAATTGCCTGAAGCCCCATTGATATTAGGGAAGATCCCCAGCCAATGGCAATGAAAATACCACAGTTCCGGGCTGTTCTCAACCATGAGAGAGACTAAGAAAGGGTATGTCTACACTACCCCCCTAGTTCGAACTAGGGGGGGTAATTTAGTCATACGGAGTTGCAAATGAAGCCCGGGATTTGAATTTCCCGGGCTTCATTTGCATAAATCCGGCCGGCGCCATTTTTAAATGCTAGCTAGGTTGGACTCCGTGCCGCGGCTACACGCGGCAAGGACTACCTAGTTCGGATTAGGCTTCCTAATCTGAACTAGCTGTACACCTCGTTCCATGTGTCACTGTGCCTCAGTGGGACACCGCTGAGGAAGCCAAATTCAGGACAAACTCCTGAGAAAAAGGACAGACTCTGGTGGTTGTTCCATCATTACATTATACCAAGTCGGTAACAAATATAGAATCCTAGAACACTAGAACTGGAAGGGACCTCAAGGTGTCATCAATCCATTCCCCTGACCTCATGGCAGGACCAAGCACTGTCTAGATCGTCCCTGACAGGTGTCTGTCTGACCTGCTCTTAAATATCTCCAGAGAGGGAGATTCCACAACCTCCCTAGGCAACTTATTCCAGTGTTTAACCACCCTGACAGAAAGGAAGGGTTTTTTTTTCTACTGTCCAACCTAAACCTCCTTGCTGTAGTTTAAGCCCATTGCTTTTTGTCCTGTCAGAGGCAAAGGAGAACAAATTTTCTCCCTCCTCCTTCTAACACCCTTTTAGATACCTGAAACTGCTAACAAGTCTGGGAAAGCTAAAGGTGAAAGGAAAGGTGCAGGGAACACATGGATTTTATTAGGATAACCATCCATTGATACAGGGAAGAAGGCAATCAAGGGTGTTTTATTGGACTCCAAAGCAATGAGGTTCAGTGGATGCTCAGGGGCTCAACCACTTGAACAAGGTGCTAGCACTTTGTAGGTTAAAATAAAAGGGATTTTGTGCTACAATTTTTAGGAAAAACAGTTTATTAGGCGAAAATGTGCATAATTGCTGGGGAAGAAATTCTACTGTTCCAAATATAGCAGAAAACTTGAACAACTGAGTAAATGTTATTAACCCTTCAGTGCTGCCAGTTTCAGTAAGATGTGCTGCATATGGATAAGTGCCTATCTGTCAAGTAAAGCAGCTGGAGAGCTTGAGGCAGATTTAATTTATACATTAAATTTAGGGTTTTTTCCTCATAACACACACAGCTTTTGAACATTGAGTGCAAAATAAGGGATGTTTACCTCTGGGGTCTTGTTTCAAATATTTTGTTCTGATTTAGACACATACTCATTATTCTTAGATCCTGATTTTCATAGACTCATAGACTTTAAGGTCAGAAGGGACCATTATGATCATCTAGTCTGACCCCCTGCACAGTGCAGGCCACAGAATCTCGCCCACCCCTCTTAGAATAATCCTCTCACCTATGTCTCAGATATTGAAGCCTTCCAATACTTTGAAGGCCCCAACATGCAGAGAGTCCTTCAGCTGTGATCTGTGCCCAATGCTACAGAGGAAGGCGAAAAACCTCCAGGGCCTCTGCCAATCTACCCTGGAGGAAAATTCCTTCCTGACCCCAAATATGGCGATCAGCTAAACCCTGAGCATGTGGGCAAGACTCACCAGCCAGACACCCAGAAAGTTCCCTATAGCAACTCCTATCATCCCTCCATTGACCTATTTCCAACTGGAAATGAATGGTCAATTAGTTACCAAGATCATGTTATTTCATCCAACCATCCCCTTATCATAGAATCAGAACTGGAAGAGACCTCAGAAGGTCGTCAAGTCCAGCCCTCCGCTCTAGGCAGGACCAATCCCATCTAAATCAACCCGGCCAGGGCTTTGTCAAGCCGAGACTTAAACACCTCTAGGGATGGAGACTCCACTACTTCCCTAGGTAACCCATTCCAATGCTTCACTACCCTCCTAGTAAAATAGTTTTTCCTAATATCCAATCTGGACCTCTCCCACCACAACTTGAGACCATTGCTCCTTGTTCTGCCATCTGTCACTACTGAGAACAGCCTCT